AAAAAAAAAAAAAAAAAAAAAAAAAAAAAAAAAAAAAAAAAAAAAAGAAATAATTTCTCCGCTGTAACACACGTTTTCGTTTAAAATCCGGAAATTTTACTTTCCCCTCCCACGGAGTTTTGTAGCGCGTGTAACCCACGCTCCAATGGTAACGTGAACTTTACGACAAACTGAAGCGCGTATAGTACACGAGCATAAAAAGAAATTTGCCTAGGGAATTGTTCTCTTTACTTGCTGGCCAATTTTCAGCAATCGTAAATGGGAAGCTAATTTCCACCTCAGCTTCCTGTCCACGCACTTCAATAAACCCACCAAAAATTTTCAAATTTATTTCCATAAATAAACATAAAATAATAAAATAATAAATAATAATTTAAAAATAAATAAATTTCCACCTGTATATATAAACACCCTTCCACTCTCATCTTCTCATCCACAACACACAGTTCATCTTCTTCCTCTGTTCATAAAAATGGCGTCTTTTTCCTCTGCATCAATGATTCCCTTCCTCTTTATAATCTCCTTGTTCCAAATCTCCTCCGCATCCAGGGTGCTAAACGACGTCGTTCAGGATCAGATGCTCAAATACCACAACGGCGTTCTTCTCTCCGGCAAAATCAGTGTCAATCTCATTTGGTATGGAAATTTCAAGCCATCCCAGAAGGCGATCGTCTCCGATTTTGTCAACTCCCTGTCGTACTCCCGGCCTCAGGTCAGCGAGCCGTCGGTCACCACATGGTGGAAGATTACAGACAAGTATTACGCAATGTCTTCTAAGAAGAAATCAACTCCTCTGTTTTTGAGCTCTGGCCGGCAAATTCTCGATGAGAATTACTCGTTGGGGAAATCGCTCACCAACGAGCAAATCGTTCAATTGGCTTCAATGGGTGACCGGAAAAACGCGATTAATGTCGTTTTGACGGCCTCTGATGTCAACGTCGATGGGTTCTGTATGAGTCGATGTGGGACTCACGGCTCTGCATCCCACGGCAGCGCTAAGGGTAAAAATTATAAGTTTGCATACATTTGGGTTGGGAATTCCGAGACCCAATGTCCAGGGCAGTGCGCTTGGCCATTTCACCAGCCGATGTACGGACCACAATCGCCGCCGTTGATTGCGCCGAACGGCGATGTGGGGATGGACGGTGTTGTTATTAACCTTGCAAGTCTTTTAGCTGGGACTGTCACTAACC